CCAAACAGATCAAGGCAATCAACTGTCTCACTTATCCAGAGGGCCTGATCCAGTTGGGGGTTCCTCAGCTATTCTTATTTGGGCTTACCTCCTCCTCCTCCTTCGGGACACTCGAAGGCATGTGTGCGTGAAGATCTAGATTTGGATTTCTTTTTTTCTCGTGGACGGTGTCTAGACCTTGGACAGGACTTCTCCCGCAGCTGATGATCGGACATCGATGACTTGGACTTGGATCTTTTTGTTGATGATGATAATCTTCTGTGTGAGCGAAGAGATTGAGGCAGAGATTCTGAATGATCTGGAGAAGATCTGCTCTGAGATCTGGATCGGTGACTGGTAGAGGAACAACAGTGTCTTTTGTCGTTACTCTGGTATTCATGGTTGTCTTCTTCAAAATGGTATTGCCCTCCCTGGCCACAGCTAGGTTGAGCATGCTGTGGAATATCATTGTGCACCATCTGCACTCGTAATTTATAACCATCCAGAAAAGTTCCATTTAAGGCAACCATTGCGGTCTCAGCATCACGTTTGTTGTAGAAATGGATGAAGGCCACTCGGTAAGGCTCTTCGGTTAAGTGATTTTCGGAGATGTACACATCACCAACGGGCCCGTAATCCTCAAACACACGCTTCAGCGTGCTGGATGAAGTGAAGTTTGCCAGGTTGTCCACCTTGAGGAAAGCCATTTCCTCCACATTAGGAAGAGGATGGCTGTAACTCATTTTCCTTGATATTTCAGTCTTATATTCTCTGAAATGAACAGTTATTAGGGGGAAATAGAGCAGATCCGTGAGAAGAGCTCTATGGTTGCGGCCATTTTCTTGACTGCTTGGCTTTGAGTATTCGATTCCCTTGTATTCGCTCACACATTCTAGAATGGTTAACGTAGCCCCGCCCACTCATAGAGTTGAAACTATTTGAGAAATAGAGGAATATAATTGCATACCACTTTAAAATAAGTGGTGTAATCACAACACAATTATTTTAACATTTCTGGTACAAATTCAGACATTCAGAATCAACTAAAGGTTAGAATTGAATTTATTTATACTTAATATACCTTTACCTTCCAATGTTCTTAACCATGGAGTAGAATTATAAATTTACTAAACTTTTTACTGGTTCCATTCAGTAATTTATATAACAACAATATGAAAGTTAAAGAGGGATATCTAAACTCCTACATGAGTGACCAGAACCCTCCCACAAGGACCACCAAGTACCTCCCGTAGGACCTCTAACTGCCATGTTTCACCCATAGAACATTCTA